ATCACCTTGCGCGATGCACAGGTTCGCAAGATCGCAGAGTCCTGAGCGAACCGTAATGGAGGGAGCCAGTGGCGATGGCATATATTTTGCCGACTCATCCAGAGCGTACTGAGAAGGCTCACACTCGAGTCTGGCGATTGTGTTGCGAAATAGTCGCATCCAGGGATGAAGAAGAATCTCCATTAGCGTAGGACGCTCGCGTGGATCCTGGCGGCAACAACAACTACAAGGAGGTATAAACAAGGGTAAACAATCCCGTCTGGATAAGGAAAACAGTTTTATATGAGAGAAGGCTCACTGTATTAGGTCCATAGCCTCGTGGCTAACCAGAGTTCGACGAAATTGGACTGTACCAGAGAGAATTTCATTGTCACTCATAAAGGGAATGTCTCCATTAATCATGTCAAAGAGTAGAATTCCAACCGTCCAAATTTCGGCGGATTTGCCGCGATATCCGTTACTTTTTATCCACTCCGGTGGAGAGTAAACACGTGTACCTGTTACCAATTAAAGGCAGTTAAGTATCCAAAAGCAATCAAGGCAGATGGACAGATGGACAAAGTAGCTACCATCGAAATCACGGTAAATCCCATCATGTAAGAAGGCGCCAGAGCCGAAGTCAATGAGTTGAATTTCATGATTATCCGAGTCAATAAGTAGGTTCTCATCCTTCAAGTCGCGGTGCAGAACTCCAGCTTGGTGGCATTTGAGCAATATGCCAACAAGTTGGTACATTATGAAGGCCGATTCGCATTCGCTCAAATAGCCGCGCTTGCAAATATAATCGAAGAGATCTTGAACAGCAGGTGTGTTACCAGCCATCACTATATTCCAAGTTCCATGAAGGTCGTAAACCTCCAAAAGTCTGGAAATTCCATCGATATGTGCAACCTTTTTCAGCAGAACTACCTCCATCGGAAGCATATCTCCATCTAACTAAAGTACAAAACAGGGACTCCGTCTCTAATCTTATGGTAGGCAAAAGAGTACAAAAGCGAAGTATGCGCCGGCGTATACTTTTGACTTACTCGGCACCAGCATGGCACGCGATCAGAATCCA